AATGTTTCATTTAAAGTGATTAGTTTAAAAATGTCTTTAAACATAACGCACATTTCCGTCTGCTTTTTTACTTTTAAGGTTCGGAGGATATAATCAGAAGTAGCGCTGCATTTATATGCATGACCAAGGATTTTTTTTGTTATTGAAAACAATTCTGATTTTGTTATACCTATTTAAAAACTGCCGAAAATTTTTACCTATGGAATTTATGAAAAAACTTCCACATGCGATTTTTGAAGGGAAGACCAACCCGATGTGGGGTTGTACAAAAACATATGTGCGCAGGCAAAGAATTCTACTTGTGAATATTAATGATATCGATACTAATTTTCGGTAAAAAAACTGCCAAGTAACAAGTTGAACATGGAAGGTTCCGCAATATTTTTTTATTGGCAAATTAGACATTGCAACAGCGGAGTTTTAATAAAAGGTTCTATTATCACCCATTAGGTAAGCACGAAACACTTATTTGGCGGTGTTTCTTTATTGTACTAAAGCTTGAAATGTTCAATTGATTTGTATTTGGTTGTTTGGATCCTCGACGCGGATACATTTGATTATTTTTTTTACGTGCAGCTCGCACATGTGTAAAATGTTAGCGAATTTCCTGTATGATTGTAACTTGTGTTCTTTAATTATAATAATCAAAGCTTGTATTGTATTCTTAACTAAGCATCACCATGCCATCCAAGCATACAGAAATAACCGTAATTTAATTTTACTCAAGTAGGGAAAAGGACCTCGATGACACAGTGGGCGACGCATTTGAGGAAGTCTAGCAATGGTCGGTTAAAAGATGGGTAACCAAAAAGTTTATCTGCGTCTGCAGTTGTTAGGCCCCAGCAACGAACAAAGGCCCACGTGGTAATGAATTTATAGTCAGTTTACTGGTACAAATCATCAACAATTTCCTCTAAAAGTAATTTTTTTTAGAACTAATAACTCTCACTAAGAGCTAGTTTTTTAACTACGTAGGCACCGGTCTCCTCACTTAAAATGTCTTCCTTTTTAATTAATAATGGATGCCACCAGCGACTTCTACCGCGTTATCTTTAGTTTTTTTAAGAATCCCACTGTAACCAAACATATCTCCGGGATAAAAAGTATCCTACGAGTATGTCTAGGTTCAGGTCATGAACTTTAAGTGTACTAAAGGAGAATGCCAAAAAACCCAGTTGCAGGCATAATAAGATGAATCTAAAAAATTTAGTAATAATTTTTAATTTTAACCACATGGGATCTTTTTCCTTACTGGCAGACATATCGAAATTAGCTGTAGTATTATTCAGGCGTCGATTTAAAATAAACAATTCTATTATTATATTGGATTCCTTTATTTACAAAAACATGATGTTAAAAGTATTCCTGAAATACAAATTCAGGCCCAAACTTCACTATATATCTATACATATAAAACTCAAAGGTGACTGACTGACTGACATAGTGATCTATCAACGCACAGCCCAAACCACTGGACGGATCGGGCTGAAATTTGGCATGCAGGTAAATGTTATGACGTAGGCATCCGCTAAGAAAGGATTTTGATCAATTCTACCCCCAAGGGGATAAAATAGGGAATGACATTTTGTATGAAACTTTGTCAATTTTAAAACGATCGGGCTGAGACTTTGCATGCAGGTATAAGAAGAATCATAGATGAATGTCATTGTGTATAATACAAGCCTGAGAACAAAAACTGTAGTCTACACTTCAGCTCTACACCGAAGCGAAGCGAGGGCGGACCGCTAGTTTAATATATTTTTACGAAATACGACGACAGGCGCGACGGTCTTCACGATGCGCTAGCGTTTGCAACGTTGTGTTCTGTGCGATTTATATTTGAGTTTTGTGAATGTCTTTCCATGACTTGGCTCTTTCTTACTGGATTTCTGTGATATTTCTTTGTGGTTTGGAAGTTAATCTGCCGATCAATAATTGCGTTTTGTGACGACATTTAATTAGTCGATGTCGAGCCATGTTCTTAAGAGAGGATGCGAGCTGAGAGACATTTAAGAAGTATGTATTTGAATAAACTATTGCTGTCGCACATTGGCAAACACCATATGTTAGGGACAACAGTAGCTAACTCTGACTATGTAAAAAAATTGCAAAATTCCAGGTTTGACTCTTGACGTTTTCCTACTCGAAAATTTGACTTAAATAAAAGAAATTTTAATCATACATTAATAAGTATGTTGTTATAATAGGCCTCTGTTTTTTGCTTTTGTAAGGTGTCTTTAGTGGTGATATAAAATAGTTTATTTTTGTCATTTTTGAGGGCTTCTAGTTTTTTTGAATAACATGTTATCGAAAAAAGGATGACATAGGATTAGGAGCATAGAATGAGTAAAATTATATTTTATGTATGAAAATCATTTCTTTAGTGATAATAATCAAGGAGGAATCAGTCGAGAGCATTTGTATGGAAAAAACATTGGCCGCCTTCCCTCTTAAAGGATGTTTACTGCAGAATAGACGAGACTTCATGGAGTTTAATTATTCTAAATTCTTTAGACCATGAGGTATGTTTTATCCAATACTTGCACAATTAAAACTTGTTTCATCCCAACAAACATTATAATTGTCTGTCAGTAAGGATCACGATCCCATATCATTATTATTATAATTAATATTATTATCATTATACTTATAACTGGTTTTTCGAGGTACGTCTCATTATGACTGCAACTGAGTTTTTTGGATAGAGCTTTGGAATACTGCTTTCAACCAAATCAACGGATTTGTTTGAAATTTGGTACGCATACAGTAGTTTTTCGTGATGAGTAAGTAACAAACAAACTTTCACGTTTCTAATATTTTTATGATCTAGAAGTATGCTTTTATTACTATATTAGTGTTGTTTACCATATATATTATATACAATGGTAATACGTTAGCGATGACTGTTTCTGGGATCATCTTATTAAAATGCCAGCCGTGTCTTCTGTTCACTCGAGCCTGTTCATTGTTTAGGCTTCGAATTTATATTCAGTTCGTGGCCAACAATTTTATCAGCGTCCATTTTTATCAGTCTTTCATAACAAATATGCCGTTACTATTATTTGTCACGAAATCGATTCGATACGAAATTCGATACATTCGTTAATTGAATTTTTAGATTAACCTCACACACTGACATGTAAATTTGACGATTGGTCTGGTGTAATGCGAAGTTGCTATAACTGCTTATTTTATTTTACAACGTGTTAGCCCTATACTTCAATACTGATATTATAAGTAGGTATAGGTACCTACGCATATAACTCGATCTTTCTTTAAGCCGAAATTTCATCCGTAGTAATAAACAAATAATTACTTTCTGCTCCGTTAGATAAATAATAATAAATAAATAAATATTTTCAACACTCACACCAATTAGCCTAGCCCCAAAGTAAGCACTATAAGGCTTGTGTTATGGGATACTCGGGAAACGGATAGAATGCATATACTGTACATATATAATTATATTTTTATAGAAATACATATCAAACATCCATGACTGGAGTACAAATGCTCCTGTTCATTACACAAACATCCGCCCCCACCGGGATTCGAACCCGGGACCTCTCGAGTCGGCGACACCATGAAACACGGCGTACGTACCACTCGGCCACGGAGGTCGTCGTCTTGAAATAGTAGATAACTCTACTATTTCAAGCGTATCCTACGTAATTTTTAGCAGATGCAGACTGGACCAACGTCTCAACTCTTCCGGTGTCCATCCCACTAAAACGCGAAGTAAATTTTAAGAAGGGTATGGCATGGCGGATTTCCGCTTGAATAAGTCGTCTGGGGAAGTAACGTCAACCTTATAGAAGATCATTGAATAGAATTGAATAGTCCTATCTTTTCGTTATGTTGTGTTTATGCCGGTAAGGTACCAGGGGGCCATTCGCCTAACGGAAATGCCTTGGAAAACGCTAACGCTTTCGATTTGATTTTGTTATTTCTGACCGCCGAAGGTTTTCAAATACCTCACGCTCATTTTTTTTAATATGGTTATTTCAATGCAAAAGAAAAAAAAGAGCGCGAGGCATTTGAAAACCTCAGGTGGCTAGAAATAACAAAATAAAATCGTAAGCATTAGCGTTTTCCAAAGCATTTCCGTTAGGCGAATGGCCCCCAGTACCCTTAGTACGAGTTTTACAATTACGAAAACTATGATAGCTTTCGTGAGCTCGCACTCGTACTAAGGGTACTGATTTTATTGTTTTCGATTCAATACAAAAAACAGTGTTTTAATTCTATCATTAAATCATTTGCACCTTCTTTAATTTTAAGTATATTTGGTTACTTTTCACCAAATTGGACATAGAAACATTATTTACAATTACGAAAACTATGATAGTTTTCGTGAGCTCAAACTCGTACTAAGGGTTCAGGGCTCCATGGCTTAAGCGAGGGGATATCGTACGTGCCTATAGGCTGGCCGTTTACCATCAGGCGATTAGTAGATTCAAGTAGTCTTAGGTTACACATTATGACATGACCGGCCGTTGCGAAAGTTGCTTTACTTTCAGTATCGCAGACCAAACCCGCACCTTCGAGATCATCGATCAAAAATATTAAAACACTGTCGGCATTCGACATTAAATAACGCATTACTACGTTCACAATTTCTTTTGTGTCTTGTATTTCAATTCATTGTATAGAATATAATTCAGTTCTGCATTTTGTTTTGCATTCCATTATTTTTATTGTACTGGTGCCAAGTCGCTTTAGTCGCGTTTTGTTCTGCTGCATTTTGGCGAGGTTTCGGAATATCGCGGCCAAAATATTACAGTTGCATTTTGTACGGGTCGTAGAGTAAGCCGAATCTCGTGGAAAGTTGACATTGACCTAAGACCTAGGGTGTTTACGTACTTATATATATGCATTCATGCCCTGTCCCTTTTGAGGTTAGCAGAGCAGAGTTAGCAAAGCTGATCTTTTCTAGCGACACATGTCCCTTATTTCCAACATATTTATTTCTTATTTTTTAAGTTTTTTTTTGTTTCTAGGCGATAAGAGTTGCGCAGCTGTTAATGCTGGCAGTATGCCTGTGTCGCACAGAATCTTCACCGTTCCCAAAAGGCAAGCGGGCGTTTACTTTGGAAGAAGTAGTGCCATTGAAAGACTTCTTCCCGGAGAGGCTGAGCGTGCAATGGATCTCAGGTATATAGAAACAATATAAAAAACGAGCGCGCCTTATGACCCAATTACACAGCCTGAATACGCCATATGGTTCAATTACACTTGGTCGTTAGCCTGAATATGATTGTCAACGGAATTAAGGTAAATGACTAAGTGTAAATAAACGGAGTCGTGTACGCCCGTGTTCGGGTAGTTTTCATTTCGGTTACACGACACCGTCTTTCAGCGCGTATTCCAGTGAAGATGTTGCTTCAGGTGCCCGAATTCGAGTAATGTCTTTCGTGCACCCGAATTCGATCTAACGAACAAGTGTAATCGAGCCATTACAGTCTTGGATGAAGAATCTCGCTAAATGCGGTAGTTGCTTACGATATATGATGTGTTATATTTGACATCTCTCCTTAGTAATAAAAGAAAAAAGGAAAGAGAACCTCCTCCAAAAGAAATAAGCAATTTTCACATTTTAATCTAAAATCAAATCAAATAGCTCACGCTTCCCTGACTTCCTGATACACACTTCTGTCCAATTTCACAAAATAACTACCACAAATTGCAAGTATCTTACTTAGGGACACATAAAAAACAAAACACTAATAAATAAAAACAGACTAAGTCACAGACAGATGTAACTTAAATTTTAATGACTGAGCTTTTAAACTACACAAATCAAATAATAAGCAACAACACATCACATGTATTATTTAGATACGCAAACTGCAAGTTTTATCAGTTTATATATGTTTTATCGTTATGAGATGTATAATTTATTCGAAGGTTTTTCTTGCTTTAGTCATTAATAAATGAAATTGGTTATTACTTTTAAAATAATATAAGTATTAAAATCGGTTAAAAGTTGAGCAAAGTAGATTCTTTTGACGAGTATATTTCATCTTATTACTTACATACTTATATTTATATTAAGGTTGATTGGCGCTTACTAATATAAGATAAAATAAGTGAGCAATTACCTTAATATTATAAACTAGCGACCGCCCGCAACTTCACCCGCGTTCACTTTAGTTTTTTGAAAATGCCCTAGGAACCTTACACTTTTCCGGGATAAAAAGTATCCTATGTCTTAATTCAGGTCATAAACACTATAACGATCATTATGTGCACCAAATTTCATACAAATCCGTTTAGTAGTTTTTTCGTGATTGAGTAACAAAACTGTTAACAAAAATAGTCGCGCGGCATGTTAATAGCTCGCCCAGCTACCGGCCGGCGCACACCTGGCTTTTGGTGCGTAATAGGCGGGCAAAAATATGTTTATCAGATTTTTATGTCTGTTGTAGTTATTTTGTTAAATAATGATACTTTTAAATAAAACAATTTAATAAATAGATTTTAGATTGATACTGACAGTGGCAAAAAAAAAGAAATAAATAATACAAAAGTTATTTTGATTATTTTTCTTCAATATTTGAAGGTTCATCGATATGATCTTGATAATGCTGCTGATTAGTATTTTTCCATAGTTCTAGAATACTTCTATGAAATAATTTTGCAGACTTGCGAGGTTAATTTATGTATACACTACTACATGATCTGTTTTGTTGCATTTGGTTTTTTTTAGAACTTTTAAAGGAGAACAATTTCTTCATACATGATTTTTGTGTAACATTAACAGTTTACCGAGCGCACGCAACGAAAGCTCTAAAAATTTAAAAAATCAAAAAGCCCGACTGCTTAATTATACTTCAAATAAAAACTGAAAAGAAAAAAACAAGTCCAGTAGTCTATAATTCTGTTAATAAGGAACAAAGCTACTTTAACAGTCGGGACCCACTGTTCAAAAATATTATGTATTCTTGAATATCTAATGGGTCCCGACTGTTAAAGTAGCTTTGTTCCTTATTAACAGAATTATAGACTACTGGACTTGTTTTTTTCTTTTCAGTTTTTATTTGAAGTATAATTAAGCAGTCGGGTTTTTTGATTTTTTAAATTTACCTTTTTTATTTCACACTTTTTAGTTAGTAAGTATTTTAAGACGGTATATACCGTAGTCTTGTTACTTGAGTAAGGGAATTAATATCGCGGGAATTATTAAGTACCTTGCGTCGGTCTAAAAGATTGATTTATTAAGACATATAAAGACTTTACCAGCGGGGTCAAGGCTACAGATGCGCCTCAATTTTCGCAAAAAAAGTGTGAAGTTAAATCAAGTCGTTACATAAATATCTCCAATGTATGTAAATTTTATAGTAAACTAGCACTTACTCAAAAAGTCATCTTTTGTTTATGTTTTTTTTAATAGTTTAGCAGTAAATATAAAATTCATTTACTTTTATTCGTCGACTATTTAAAATTGGCAGTGGCTGCATTGTCATGTCAATGCCGGACGTCTAAGATTGTGATATACACAAATTCAGTGTCAGTCCCTAGTCTCATAATTTGATATACCTACATAATTCACAGAAACCCAATATGTAGATGCCAGAAGTTAACTTCAAATGTTTTTAATCACCCTATATACAATACCAATCAATGACGTTTATGTCGCAGGTTGAAGAAAGCAGTAATTCCCGTCTGTTGTTTTGGACAAAGGTGGCAACTGCCTTAGATCACTAAATAAATAATTATGCAATCACCAAAGCAAAGTTTATAATATTTTATTAAACTTAAGGCGCATAATAAAATTTTCATAACGTTAGGTAGAGCACCATAGCAATCTCATTTATTATCAATTTAGAGTTCTCTTTGTAGTTTTCTTTTAAAGCGTTCACATTTAACAGGTCAAAGACTTTGTGTTCGACCCTTTTTTATTGGTAGTGTAAAGCTCGAATGAAGAGTACTCCCAGTAGTGCAATCATGGCAATTATTTTCCAATAAGTTTTTGTTTAAAAAAAAACCGAATAACGTATCACTGTTAAGCACAAATGCTAAGTAACTTTTACAAATATAATGAAATAAACGTATTACTTACTTGGTTTTTTAAATCTTTTTCATCAATTAAATACTTATCTTATTTTAACTATCTATACTAATATTATAAAGAGGCAAGATTTGTATGTTTGTAACAAATAATCTGTCAAACTACTAAACCGGTTTCAAATATTAATTCAACATAAGGTAGCTACATTATTTATTATAACATTTTTCTTTATTTAAATACATTTTGTCCGAGTGACATAGGCTATATTTTATCCCGATAAATAAATTTCGCCCGTACAATGCCCGGGTGGATCACTAGTAAGTATAATATAATATTATGGATGCGAAAGTGAGTTTGTTTGTTGCGCTTCTGTGCCCTAATAGCTAAACCGAATATAATGAATTCCCATATAGAAGTAGATGGGAACTTGGTTCTTAGCTACAACATCGCAATACTTATGGCGTAGGGTGATGAAAGGGGTGATTTACCTATAAAAATCTACATTATTTACTTTGAATTTTGCAGAATTATTACAAAAACAATATTATCGCGAGCTGATTCATAAATACAGGGATTCCAATAAGTATGTACTTACTAGCGAAAAATGGGTTATTTGTCATTATATTAAGTAAACCTTTTTTGTAACATTGAGTAATATCGTTAAAATAAATGAAAAACAGTAAAATTCTGAGTTTTTCATTAAAATTCAATAATTAGTTAGTACTTCGTATAGGATCAGATACTGCGAATACCCCATTTTTTTTCTTTTACATAGTACACCGCGCTATCACTTTGTCATCGTTGTAACTTTTTAAATATTTGTCGAAATGACATAGTGTAAAAATCAAAGTTTATCGTCTTTAAATATCAAAAGCGATAAAAGTATTTGTTTTGATAAAAATGATTTGTTAATACAAAATGTGCATTTTGGAAATAGATATCAAATAATATTTTAGTTTTGATTCACTATTTTAGCGGTAATGACTTACACATTAAAAATAGATATATGGTGTCACGGACTTTTTTTTAGAACTATTTAAGAGATACATTTTCACTCTATATTAAATTAATGTAACTTTTATTGTTTTTGCAGTGCAGGCCAAAATGGCTCCCAGATGGGAGATTTTTTTCCGTCTTATGTGACACTTATTGTTATATATTGCCCAGTTCACTCAATAACTACATAAATTATTATATATATGTAATTATCATATATGAGCTATATTACTGTTTAGTTTCATCAAAATCCATTCAGTATTTTTTAAGGTGAAAGAGTAACAAAGATCCATACAAACGTAAGATTGAAATTAAAAGCGTAAGTGGTTAATATACAACTTTAAAGCGTTGTAGATCCTAAACAATCATATAAAATGAAAAATGGTGTTAGAAACCTAAATATGATTTTTGATTATCTGGACAGTGATACCCCACCCGACATATTTTGTCAACTTATTTTTTTTACTTCGTCACAATATGGCGCCTAATTTTGCCCATATTGAATTTTAATTACTATCATATCTTTAGTAGCACTCCCATGATTGAGACGAATCGATTGATGTATAAATCATCAAAATCGGTCCAGGCGTTTGGTCTCTAGTGTGCCACAAAGGAACAAACATACATATATAGACTGTTAAACACATAACCCTGTCTGCGCGTCGCGCTTCGCGCTCTTGCATTGCGCAGCCGGGTAATAAAAAGGCATATTTTCTCCCGTTTTCGCAACATTTTTCATTGATGCTCCGCTCCTTTTAGTCTTATTATGATGTATATGTATATGCCTTAAAACTTTCTCCATAAATGGGACATCTATAAAAAAAAAACTATTTGAATCATTAGCTCCTGAGATTAGCGTGTTCAGTCAAACAGAAAACTCTTCAGCTTATATAAGTAAAGATAACTTCATTGATTTTCAATTTTTAAAAAGGGGCGTATATATAGGTATTTTAATTTTACATGATAATTGATAAACTTTGAGGACACTTTTCAGGTTCCGTGGTCACTGAAAAGGGACTGAAAGGTTAAGTATTGTGAGCGATTAAAATATACCGCTTTTATGTGTATTTCGTTAAGTGACTAGTGTAGGTATGCGGCAGTTAAAAATAATGTTATTAGGTACCTACCTAGATTACCTAATACACGG